AGTCACCACGTAGCCAACCACAAGGACAACGTAATAGGAAATATGGCCTTTTTCTCTCAGGGCACCATTCTGATACCTAACATGACCTCAGTGCTCMTGGATAAGAAGGAGTGGGAAACCCCTGACACTTTTAACCCTGAGCACTTCCTGAAGGACGGCCAGTTCTACAAGAGAGAGGCCTTCATACCATTCTCCCTAGGTAAGGGGGAGCAGATGTTTCCCCATTCCCTTCATGCCGAGTTCCTGGGATGGGAGTGGAAGCAGGATGATGCTCGCCCCAAATGCTGTTCCCCTCACACCTTGGACACCCACATCCCACACAACTTGAGGGCTGGGGCAGAGTAAACACCCTCGTGGCCTTGGCACCCTTCCCAAGCAAGGAGGAGCAACAGAGGGGAATGAAGTGCCACAAAACACACAGGAGACCTTTGAAGTGTCTTAAGGGCAAGAGTGGCCACCCTACCTGCTTGGTCTCAGTTGCTCAAGGCACTTCCAGAGCAGAGCAGAAACTCGTGCAAACAATTTCCCAACTGAGTATCATGTCCTTTTGGGGGAGTTTTCATTGCACTGGGCACAGGCAAACCGAAGCCGTGTGGCTGTCGCTGTCTCCGCAGGGAAGCGCGCCTGCCTGGGTGAGCTGCTGGTCCGTGCCGAGCTCTTCCTCTTCTTCACGGCCCTGCTGCAGAAGTTCACCTTCCGGATGCCGCAGGATGCCGTGCCCAACCTCCGCTACCGCCTGGCAGTTACGAGGCAACCCTGGCCCTACCGCATCTGTGCCCTGCCGCGCTAGCTAGCGGGGCCCCCAAACATCCGTGGGGTGGAGCAAGCAGGGCCAGGGAGAAGATATCCCCTCCACGACGACAGAACAATACTTCCTTTTACAAAGTGAACTTCAGATCTCTGTCTGCCCACCATAATTCAGCAATGCAGAGGTTTCGAGCAGCAGGTTGAATATCCCTACTCATTCGCTTGGGAAATATTTCTGGTTTTTTTTGACTGCATACAAATGGAGCTTTCTTAATTTGATTTTGTCTAGTTACCGTTCGTAGCAGAGTATAACTTAGGAGTGCTTTGCCGACCTATTTGCACAGGTCCATTCAGTTGAAGAGCGGCACCAGTCCTGGTCTCTGCTTTTACCATGCTCTGATTTGAGCATTGGTAGTAATTGCCAAATGTTGTGCCTGTGCTACCCTTGACAAATTATCTATCTATGTCTCTATGCATGAAAAGATTGACTCTAACATCTCTGCCTCTATTTTCCATTCTAATAAATCCTTACAGAAACAATTGTGCCAGAAAGCATTCTTCAAAGTGAACATCAAGAAGGGCAGCTTCTCACCACACCTGCTGCCAGGTCCTCGCAGACACAGGGATACGGGGAGCCAGACCTGGCCTCAGAAGAGCGCTCGTGACCTTGAGCAACACCTTGACTGAAAACTGCTCTGTCACAGGGATTCCAACAATGTGGCTTACCCAAGCTCCGCCCTGAGCTTGGTAACACTTGGTCACCTCTGTCCTTCCTTTGCCGCAAAGTGACTTTGGGCACAGGGTCTGGCCAGGTACATAAGGCCAGAAGATGATGGGTTGACCTAAGGAACGATTTCTGTCACGTGAGGCTCCCAAACAAGAGCTGCTGTCATCCTGTTTTGCAGATTGATTAAGTGGAAACACGCAGAGTGGAGCCAAACTAATGTATTTATAAAATGCAGGAGACATGACCAAGTTGCTGCTAGAAACTCGAGGAGAATCCCCTGCCCTTGTCTCCAGTCTCTCACCTTCCTTTCTCATCTCTTCCTTTCTCATCATAGTGTCCTNCTGTCTGCTAAAACACCTCAAAATTAGCTGATTAATGTGAGGAGGCAACAGGCAAAGCAATATTTGTAGCGAGTATTTAACACTGCTCACTTTGAGCTCTCCTGAGAAGCATGAGCACTCTGAGCACCACTGTTTCTTCCACTGTCTTCAGCTCTTTCCACACCTCTTGCTTTCCATCATCCTATGAAACCAGTCCTGACCTGGGACATACAGCAGAATCAACTCCTCTATTTCCTCTTCTCCAGGACATCCTTTTGACCCYCACTTTAAGATCAATAAYGCYGTCTCCAACATCATCTGCTCCGTCACCTTTGGAGAACGRTTTGAGTACMACAATGAGCGCTTCCAAGAGCTGTTGCATCTGCTGGACAAGRYGTTGGTGCTGCACAGCCACCCTRTTACACAGGTATAGCCCTCCAGCAGGGTTGRCCACGTTGGCACCAATTTGTGCAAGACCTTGGCTGCTCCTTTGCGATAGACCTGCAGWYTTGTAGAGTAGTAATTCATCAACATGACTTAGCAGACACAAGGCTTTGATAACACAAGGGTTGTTCCRKTCTTCTCTTCCATGTTCTCTTCGCTTCTCCCRTCCCAAGCTCTGCAACAATTTCCCAAGAATCATGAAATACATCCCYGGGCCCCATCAAGCCATTCCTGWAATCKGGAAGCAGCTGAAAAATTTTATTCGTGACATAATTGCTAAGCACAAGGAGGACTGGCAGCCCACCGAAAGCCGGGACTTCATTGACAGCTACCTGCAGGAGATAGCAAAGGTCAGTCACACAACCGAGCCCCTCAGGCTATAAATCGGGAGCAACTAGGAAGGAATCGTAGTTCTCCATGTGTGT